CCCCCCCCGGGGGCCCCCAAAAGCCCCCAACCCTTTTTTTGGGGGTTTTTTTTTTTCCCCTTTTCCCAAAGTCCCATTTTTTTTTTTTTAAGGGGGGCTTCCCCCCCTTCCCCCCCCCCCCCCCCCCGCTCGCGCGATCTGCCCGGCGCATTTCACACAGGCATTTGAGTTGTCAGTAGCTGGCTGCCGTGTACCCCAACAGCAGCAGCAGCAGCAGCACTTTACAAGCAGGTTCGGCCGGGCCGCCAAGCTAGCCTTTTTCTGGAGCTTTGGATTTGGAGGATTCCCACAGCAAAAGATCAGGGCGGCGTTTCCACGGTTAGGGATGGCGGCCACCGAGGATGCGCTCTTCCGCTCGATCGAGGGCATGCAGAAGGCTGCCAACAAGCCTTGGTAAGCACGCCGTAGGTCTGACGCATCGGTTATTTCTTTCGCGCCGCACTCGATTTTTCCACCGTTCTACGCGCGGCATGCAGAGGTCGTGGCGAAGGGGCAAATGTGCGTCCGGCAATGCCATTTTTTTTTCTTTTGGAAAATCACGGTCTTCAACTTCATTGACAAGCAACCCCCGGGTACAACGGCGGTGCTTCTGCTGCTGTTGTGCGGCCGTTGTCGTTACACAGGGGAAAGTTCCTGGACGCGGGCACCGGAACCCACTCCTTGAAATGGATCAACACGCTGAACACGGAAGGCTTCACGGCGGTGACTGCAGACCCGCAGTTCGCGGAAAACACCCGCAAAGAGGTGGGCACGTCGAATGATGTTGCGTTTTGTTCCTGAAGTATATTTTTCAAGTGTGCTACTAAACACTCTTGACTTGCATGGCTCGGTCGTCGATTGCTGCTAGCGGTGATAAATTGCGGATCCCTTACCTTCGCTCTCAGTCCGTCTCAACCCGCAGTTGCTCTCGCTCATAAAAGCTATTCCGGGTTCTGTGTGTGTGTTTTTATTATTAGCATCGACCGCGCTAACCGGCTGACAAATGAAAAGACGCCAGTCTCAGTGAGGTTGAAAAAACAAAACAAATCAAAACGCCATTAACTGGGACCCCGTGAGGGACTCGTGAGGGGGCGGCATGGGGGAGGCTCGGATCAAAGACAGAAACGGTAGCAGCAGAAGAAAACTGCACGTGTCGATGAAGGCTGCTGTTGTTGTGTGTGTGTGTGTGTAGAGGGGGTATCCTCATAGTCGTGCATTCCTTAGTAGTTAGACCATTGGCCTCGCATGATTGTGTGTTCTTCACTTCAAATCAGCGCTCACAGCACTAGTGCCGTTTATTCCAACCCGTGGTCACACAGAAGAGCCTCTCTCTACCCTACCCTCCTGCGGTACTTCGCCTTCAATTTTTAATGCGAGAAGAGTTCAGCACCCTCTTCCCTCTGTGTACACACGAACTAGCGCTATCCACTTGGCCAGGAGCGGAAGCGAGAGAAAAACTCACTTTGCAAGAAAAGCTCGCCTACGCCGGGATTCGAACCCCTGACCTAACCTCTAGAAGGTCACGAAAGCTACCAACTAGACCACCGGGGCGACCGGCAGTGTGTGTGGGGCAAAATCCTCCTGAAGAAGCTTGGTTTGATGGCCATGACGGTGACACTTGGTTGACTAACACCCCCTAGGAGGTTTTTAACATGTGGTTTTTTTAGAGAAAGTGTGGAATCGACCAAGCCGTTCGTGGAAACAGACTAACAAAGCCAAACTTGGCTCTCTAGTGTGAGTATGTTCGCCTTACTTTTTGTATTCATGAAAATTGCGTTTGGGTTGTTGAAATACGGACCTCAGATCGGATTCAAAGTGAAGACGCCGGATGAGATTGTGGTAGGGAACTGGAGGGACGAGAAGTTCCTGGAAGGTCGGGTGTTCGACACGGTGCTCGCGGATTACTTGGTCGGGGCTATCGATGGTTTCGCCCCCTACTACCAGGTCGGTTTTTCTGTTGTGTTGTCATTTGCATGGCCTGTGTACTGGTTGAGGAGGATGCCAGTTTATTTGATGTGCCAGCAGTGTTTAGCCTTCTTAATTTTTTCAGCCGTCATAACGTTTTACGTTCAGTTGCTGCCACGTTTTTGTCGGGATCCAAGCATTGCCAGTGTAGGTGCGCTTGACGAATGACCATTGGCCTCTTCACATGGAACGCCCTCGTTGAAACTGCAGTTTTTGTCAATGCTGTGCTACAGCAGTGGTGAACCTGTCATATGCTTAGTGTTTCAGAGGCAGCTGCTAGTGGAAGCATCCGTGGCGTTGTTTCGTCGGTTTTGTGGTTCTGGTGAGACTGGTGACGGCTCTTCGTTTGTTAGCCCGATAGCTCCCACGATGCTTCAATTGATACCACTTTTTTAGCAAAGAAAAAACAAACACACGTGAATAAACCCTTTCATGACTTCCGGAGCGTGATTGTTTTTTTTTCCCGCTACAGTACATGACTGACGTCTTTTCATTGAACAGCTGGCTAGCGCGGTCGATGGTAATTATAAAACACGTGCACACACTTTTTTGGCGGCGTTTGCGTCCGCACAGGACCAAGTTTTCGAGCGTCTTAAGAGGCATGTCGCTCCGGGAGGACGGATTTACCTGGTGGGCATGCAGCCATTGCCCGACCACCCTGGTGAGCCAGCCAGTCAGAGTTTTTGTTCTCTTTTGCTTTTCGCTGCGGGTACCGTTTATTGAAATCGATTTATATGTTTGTCTCACGCTTTCGAGCCCATTGGCAGCATTTGGCAGTAAATTTTTCTCTCTGAAGCACAAAACTTGTTGTGTGCGGGAAGATGGCTTCGACTCTTCTATGGGGTATTGCTCCCATTTGTTTTGTTGTTTTACCTGCCCCTGTTTTTTTTCATGCCTGGGGTTTGCTTGTTTCCGCCTGAATGGGGTCAGACCTGACCGTGTGTCGTGAGCAACTCTATATATTTTTTCAACGTTTTTTTGGTGTTCCCAGGTGTACTTACTGCGGTCTAAGTACATTAAGTGTCGAGGAGGCGTCGGTGTTGCCTTGCTGACCGCCGCCACACCGGTTCAATGAAAGGTGCAAGGGGTGTGACGGTAGCCCCGACAGAGAGCTAGGCTACCCGGCGTAGTGGAGGATGCGTGGAGCTTCGACACAGCCGGGCAGTAGAGAACGACGACCTGTCATGTGAAAAACATGACCGTCAAACAAACCCCGCTGCACACCTCTGGAACCTAGGCCCCTTGTGCTGTGCCACCCAGTGTTACTGCAGCGCCTTGTCTTTCAACAGCGATGTCGCCCCTGCATTTGCTGGCTGTCAGACTTACGTGAGAATCACAACACATATTTTCTTTTTGCTCTGTCGCAGTTTATTTTGCTTGTTGCCCTGCTTAGAGCACATCCTATGTTATTTGTTTTGGCATTGCGTCATGATTTATATTTCTGCTGTTTGCGGGCCGGTATTTCCACTTGTTGTTTCTCTCCCAGGCGGTGCTGCGGAACTGGTGTGCGAAGCGGCGCGTCTTCGTGACTCTTGCATCCTTCTCGCGGGGCACAGGCCGTACCGGCAAGTATTGTGCCGCGTGTAGTTTATGGTTAATTTTCGCCGCGTGCTTCCGTTTAGGTTTCGTTTCGTGACAAAAACTTAAAGGGCACGAAAAGTAAGAATAGTGCCCTGCTCGGAACCGGTTGGTTGATGTCATTGTTCCGCGCATTCTCTATGTGTGTGTTTACACACGTACATGCTCTTGCCTCCTTTTTGTGTTTGCGGGATGTTTAAAATCTCTTTCTCGAATGAGATTCTTCACGCGAGCAAAACAAGGAGTTCCATTGACGCGAACAGAGCACGCAAGCTTTTTTGAGCGTGTGGGGAGGCAGTTACTAGATGGAGATTTTCTCTGGATTTCGATAGCACAGCATTGGCTTGATGTCGAGTAAACAATGAATGGACGCTTGCTTCTACGGTGTATCCCGTTCCCGCTTGTATTGTTGTTGTTGTTGTTGTTGTTGTTGTTGTTGTTGTTGTTGTCTTCACATTAAAAACCGTTCCGATCTCTCTCTACCCAGTACCTTCGTATGTCCGTACTGATCCAACACTCGACGTATTGGACGCATTCGTATATCTGCGCTGACGTTATTTTTTTTTTTTGTGTGTCTTCTCTTTTGATTTTGTTGTTGCGCAGGGAATACCCGTTGGACTGGATCACTCGGCAGATGAAAAAGTCCGGTATGGTGGTCACCTCGGCCAAGAAGATGCCGGTTCTCTACGCGCCGCACACCGTCAAGCGACAGGTGGGTTCGATCCTGCAGTCACGACACTCACTATCCGCGGAACCTGGTGACTTATCCAGGCAACGATGTCATACTGTGCAATCTTCATCTTTCTCCCTCGCGGAATCTTAAATGTACCAAAACGAAACGACTGCTTGGAGATTGAACCACTGGGGATGTGGTTGATTACTTGGAGTTAGTGGGAGAAAATCTGTTGTCTCTGCGCTTTGCGTGTTCGTGAGGAAGTCATCGCTCATCATCTGGTGCACATGCTGTGTGTCCAGGTGTACGCCGCACGTGACATACAGCCAGGCTGCTATTTTTCAACTATAGCAGTGCATAGTGGTCCCTCCGGCCTTATTCAGGGTACCCGACACTATTCAGAGTATGAGACCACCTCACAATTCCATCTGTGTCACGCGGTTTCACCGGCCTTGTACAGGGTGACCGGCCATATATATGCGACCTTGTTACAGAGCGCCCGTAGTTTTTCGGTCTGTTTGTGAATCTTCCCATCTACTAAATAGTGAGGCCTTTCCCCTCTGGTTAGTCGAGCGGTCTTTAACTCTCAAGTATCGGCTCTCTGTTTGGCATTTCGAGAACGCGGCGAAGCCGCGCTCTCGTCCAGTTTTCGGCCACCACGCCCTCCGTTGGCCGCGGGTGAGATTTTGGGTTGTTATGTATTGGGGTGGGTCACATTCTGCTGCCTATTTCGTTCTACTCTGATGTTTGTGGCTCAACCTTGTTGATGGAGCCTCCTTCCGTTTGGTTTCCGTCGAATACCGTTTCGTGCGCGGTCAATAGCTCGACGTGGCGTCGCGCAAGCTGCCCATAATCGCAGCCACGGATCCGAAGCTGGCGGCGGCTCTGGAGAGACACATCAGCGACTTGGACGGCCGGGTCAGGAAGGAGCTAGCAGGAGCAGGGGGCAGGTGAGTCTCTTGCTTGGACTGCAATACTAAATCCGAGTGTTTTGGCTCTCGGTGGCTGTGTTTCGGCGCGTTCTTTCTTGGCCGGGCCGACCTTGCTGGCTAAGGAGGAGGCGGCCGTCGTGAGTACCGTGTTTATGGTTCTTGAGGTCTGGGTATCGAGCCGTGAAGGTAGAAGCCGACGAAGAACGCGAGTGTTTCGCATGAGTGGCTTCTGTGTCTGTGTGCCATTTGGGGTCGTTGTTCTAACCCAGAACATAGTTGGGCCCGCAAACGTGTCCTGAGACTGAACGTGTAGTCGTTTGGTTGGCTCATCTCAGTCTGAGTGAAAAAGGAAGGGGTGGCAGGCAAGCAACCTTGTTGTTGGTCTCATTTGAGGGGGCTCATTGCGAGAGGTGTTGACTGGCTTTTCTGACTCTTGCGAGGAAGAAGAATTTCATACTTGAAACAGTCCGAGGTCTACAAACATGTACGATATGTATTCGGCGTGTACTCTTGTTTCATGTCTCCTATGCATATGGCGTTGTTGGTGTTGAATTTTTAGATGGTCCCAGGCCTCTCTCCGATTCCCGAACGAAGTTTACTTGATGGGGAGCCCTTGCTGTCGCTGCTATTGCTGTCTGTTCAGTTGACACGTGGTACGATACGACAAACGCACACCTAGATATCATGTCGCGTTCTGTATCGCGCTACACGACTGACGTCCACTCATTTGGTCAGTCGGGTTGCGCGGTCGATACCAACGAACACATTCTTGTCCTATTTAAACTACTACCCCATCTCCCCCCCTGTCTCATCCTCGCATTCGAAGGGTCGAAGTGGGTTTCGACTACGTGGTGGCGGCGGAACTCGCCCGGGAACCTGCCGCTGGGGCAGAGAGAAAGGAGGCGGTAACGCCCGAAGGGGAAGGCGGCGGGAAGTGGGGTGGAGGTGGGGGGGGAACGGTGGCAGCAGAGGCAACGACGGCCGCCGCGCGATGACGACGTGTTAATGGGTGAACTTGAGTTGGGACCAGTGCACTCGCCAACGCGCCTGAGCAACAGAGGCAAACATTTTTGTAGCACACCGTGCTTTGATTGGACAGCTTGTTTGTGAGAAACGAATTTGGATTTTGGGAAATACGCGGCCAACCCGTGATGTCATCGACGAAGATGACGGTCACTTTTCGGGACAACTCTCAAAATTGCGTTTTTGTATGTGCTTCGGCAACACGATTGCTCTGTCGATCGCTCGTGTGTTGACGAACGCCCTTGCGTTGTGTGAACGAAAGTCTTGTGTTGTGAGATCCCACGTCGTACTAACCCTTGGGCAACTGGAGTAAGAAGGGCCAGAGCTTGGGAAGAGGTCGGGGTTTTCGGCAAGTGAACGTGGTTGTCGGTTTATGGGATGGGATGTTGCCTCTTGAGTGTGAGAGGGCACTTCCCTGCTTCACTTGTTGGTCCTTTTTGACACCTCCTTGCAGCAGTAGTGCCACGGTCGCACAATAATAGTGCTGACAAGAGAATTCGTCCCACCTCAGCGACTTCGGCAAGAGGACTTCCACATTTCGTACCACCCAAATTGTGTGCACCCAAGTCGTGTCATTTGCCGAAACGACAACACCCGAACGGACACCCCGGGTCCGGACACCCAGGGCCAGAAAGGATTGACCGCAACCTAATGTATGGAGCCAGATACCAGGTGAAGGGTTTCCGAGGAAACAAATTCCGCAGTCAGACGCAGAAATACATTACACCACAAACAGTGAGTCCCACAACTCAAAAAGAAGCTAGTTTCATGCTCGCGCTCGTGCATTGCAACAAGCACCTGTCAATCAAGGCCGGACCTATTTGTATTCCAGTTACGAGTGAGAGAGAAACACCACACAAGTCGGAACGTCAAACGTGCTGTGGTTGAGAAGTCCTGACGGCACTCTATACCTAAACTGCCGAACCTTTGTGGCGCAAGTTGTCCCCAAACTTCTGCAAATCCCCTCCCCGCTACAGCTAGTGCTGGTGCTCAGTCACCTCAATACCGCACCTACACAAACCCAACACCGTGGTTGGTGACATTTGATCGCTCGGTTTCACCACGTCGGAGAGCACGCCCGAGCCACCCGACTTTCAATTTGATTCGGATTTCCAGCGTTCCTAATCCAATCGGCCACCCGCCTTTTCTCCGTCATGAGGACACATCGGGAGGAAGCATGCACTACCGCGGAGCCCCCGCGTTTACAGTAATGTACCGTTCGCGGAAGTGGTGATGAAGACACCTGCCCCGGGCTTTGGCTGTCGCTGAAAACGAAGCCGATGTGGTCGGCCAGCAGCGGCGCGTCTCGCTTGGGCCTGCAGCTGTTGTAATCGTTCTGTGCCCGCATTGTCGAAGGAACGCCGCGAGGAACGAGGCCGCATGCCTCGGCCTTCCTCTCCCCTGCCCGGCCCGGTGGACCCACGAGCCCCCTATCCCGCTGGGTTGGCTCGGTCCGCAGCAAGGGCAACACGAACTTTCCAAGGGCAGGTGCCTGCGGCTGATCGCTTCCGGCTCCGAATGGCGCCGGACTCGGACCCGCGGCCGTCGAGAACGTGTCGACGCGGAACCAGGCGACTTGGCTCATGGTCGATGTTCTTCGAGACAGCCACGACCACTCCTGCGACAAACTCGACCCCAGTCCTGGCAATATCGGATGATTTCATGCACCACCCTGGGGCTCGGGCCTAGGGTGGTGCGTGAATTCGTCAGATACTGCATGGACTGGGGTCAAACGTGTTCCAGGCGTGGTTACGGGGTCGAGTCCCAGGTGATGCACAAGGCCAACGAACACTGCCAGGGCCGGAGTGAAAATGAGCCAGGATTGGGTATATGGCCAACCCGGAGAACGCCCACTTGGCGTCATGTTTGAGGTTGGTCCTGCGAGGAAAACGTCCGCCGGGAGGGGAAGTGTGGATCAGGGAAACGGAGGCATGAACCTTGGGAACCGAACGATTCTTGTACAGAGCCTTGTAGCTAACAGGGATTCGACAGACTCCTGTTCGTGGGCGTTAGATCTTTCACAAACACTCCACCCTCACCCCATCAGCCGCCGAGAACGACGAGCATATGAGCTCGGTAGCTGACTGTGGAAAGACAATCGGACATGGCCTGCATGTCGGCACATATCACCAACTGCTTGAGGGCGACATGGCCGGAGTTCAATACCAAGTTCTGAGGAGGGGTGCCTCTGCCCGGAAAGTGGTCAAAGACAAGATTTGCGCGAGGAAAAATTGACACCCACCCATAGAGAACAGTTTGCAAGGACTTCATACATTTTTCGAAAGATCTGCGTCTTCAATTCATGCAAAGAATAGCGTTTGCGGCGTCTTCAATAGGATTTCCTGCACCAGCGCCCCCTGCATCCGTCACTTCCAACGAGGCGAAAGGAAAAGCACTTCTCAGGTGAACATTGCATGAACAAAGACGTTGGACGAGCGAAAAGGCCGTCAGAGGCCGTCCAAACCCAGCCGAGGCGCTCCATAGGCGAAAAAGGGACCCAAGTCATCCTGCTTAATGGTCCGGCAAAAATTTATTTGGAATGACCTCAATTGCCAACCAAGAGGGCCTTCACATCTGACGCCGACACAACGCGACTACCCCGTGGACCAAAATGTGACAACCTTCAACTCTCAAAACACTATTACTGAGAACAGCAAGGAAACTGTTGAGGATCGTTTACGACGAAGGGGTAGGGTATAAACAGGATGACGACACCGTTCCGTCACGGAATTCGTGGAAATCTCATATTGGAATTACATCTATGTTTCCACACGTTCAGACGCGCCTAGCTACAAATGAACGCGCTGAACGTGACTGTAAAACATTAAAACGAAAAGTACCGCCGGTGGAAAACCATGAACTTGTTCAGAAAAATCTCACGGGCGAAAAGAAACGAATACAATTGTGCCATCGTTATGACTCGTATGCTCTCAATGAGACAGGGTGGTAACCCGGGTCCCAAAAAACGGCCAACAGGCACACCCAGTTCCGAAAAATAAGTGCGCCGGTAGTCAGCCTGCGGGGTTCAAAATATCTCTCCGAAAATAGATAGCGAACCCCAATTCTCTGGGGTGATGAGCAGCCTTAAGGACGGTGGCGGGTCGGGCCCATCCTCATCATATTTCCAGGAAATAATGAAGAGAACGGTATGGTCAGGCGAGAAAAACTCTCACCGAACGACCAAAAACCACGTCACCCAATGTTATTCTTCCAAGGTGTCTGGGCTCTCGGCCCGACCGGAGTGGGAGAGAGAGGATAGGCGTTGCGATTAAGGCAGCTAGCCGAAGCCAACTCCCTAGATCGCTCCACGGTCCCCTCTCTCTCCCGGGGCCAGAGCAATAAATTCCTTGGGTATATTGGAGGGAACGTGTTGGGCTGGAGATCGACCAGCTAAATTACAGCCCTACAGCAGCTCTGTTTTTTTTACGTTGGTTGGAAAATTATGCATTCGAGAAATGCAGACGTGTCTGCACATCGTATACGACACTTGACAGACAAATGAGAACACCGTCCCCGTTTCAAATAACCGTCGTCTTCAATTTCCGAACCCAAGACAGCACCGCGATTTTTCTTCTTGAGAAAGCTGTTGAACGGAGACTCACTGGCGACCATCTCACACGATATCGCTCTTCTACTCATGTGCTGGTGCAACCAAAAGTCGCACGCTCGCCAACTCTGTAGGCCTAAATGGCATGCCAGGACCACGAAGACTTTTATCACAGAAACAAACGGATGCAACATCGCCAAAACAACAGCAGTGTGAACATCTCACCAGGAGCGACACCATGAGGCCCACGGCTCGTTCTTTTCGCAGGATCAGGTATGCCTGCGATGTGTGACTCGCTCGGGCCCACCCACCATACTCGCCGCCGTCGTCTGTTGCGTGGACAAAAAACTTGGGTGTGCACGTGGGTATCTGCGTAAATGCTGAGAAGGTCTCCGACGTCCATCTTTACCACTTCGTCATGAGCGAGCTTGAACTCTTTCATGACGTCGTGTCTCGTCCGCCTGCAAAATCAAGGAGGGCACCAGCATTTCATCAGAGAAGATGGGATCACCACCTCTCGTGTGTCTGAAAAAAATCTTTCGATATCGGTCGTCAAGCAGATGCACATTGTATCTCTCCACCTAATGTTGCTCGAGCCAAGAAAAGCGGAGCACGGAACTGCGCGCATGCGCGTGGTGTGACCTTGTAATATTGCGCGGATCAAGTCAGACCGGCCTTGCTTGACGGTCAGATTCAAAAAAACTCGTTCGCGTGGGGAAGAAACAACTCGATACGCGACTAAAAAAAGCAAAATACATGTACCATCGTTATGACTCGTATGCTCTCAATGAGACAGGGTGGAAACCCGGGTCCCAAAAAACGGCCAAGAGGCACACCCAGTTCCGAAAAACAAGGTGCGCCGGTAATCGGCCTGCGAGGTTCAAAACATCTCTCCGAAAAGAGAAAAAACGAACTTCTATTCTCTGGGGTGATGAGCAGCCTTAAGGACGATGGCGGGTGGGGCCTTTCCCCATCAGATTTTCCAAAAACGAAAAAAAGAAGAGGAAATAATGGTCAGGCGAGAAAAACTCTCACCGAACGACCAAAAACCACGTCACCCAATGTTACTCTTCCAAGGTGTCTGGGCTCTCGGCCCGACCGGAGTGGGAGCGAAAGGGGCGTTGCGAGATGGCAGGGACCAGCCGAAGCTATCCCCAAAACCCTTTCAACCACTTTCTCTCCCAGGGCCAGAGCAATAATTCCTTGGGATATTAGTAGAAGTAGTGGTAGTACGGAAGATGCGACAGTCCTACTGCTGTACTGCATTTCAACATGAAGTAGATCGGAATCCGTTGTTATGTTGGAGAGAGAAGAGGTGCGGTGTGATACAATATTTCGGACGTTTGCGAGGGGATGCCGTTGCAAACAGCCGTTTTGTATGGTTTCCTGGTTCAGGACAGCATTTCACGTCATTGCGGGGAAAGCAACGAAACGGAGACTAAACAGGCGGCGATGATCTCACACCACAAAACTGGTGCTATTGCAAATCCGACGGTCGCGATTTGGTACTCAGTACCGTAAAATTGGACATCGCAGCTGCACGGTCAAAACTTCAAACCTCGATGTCTCCAAAATGGAAAACGCATACATATCGAAACCGTTAACTAGACTCCATAGAGGCCGTTGTGCTGGGGGTTCCGACAAATTCGTGCAAATCCTCCGGATGGGGAAATATGTAACGGACTGGGTAGCTGGGAAGCACCAAGTATGCACACGTGCTCATCTTGCTCTCAACTATGGCAGTGTCATGGGGGGAATACCCTACACTATTTTCACGTACGCGTGTCCAGCGTGGATTGCCCGAGGCCGCACTCACGGCGTGTCACGTACCATTCCTTTTCCTATGCACACAGCTCGGCCGTTTCTCTGGAGAATTCTTGGAGAGAACGTAGTATACGGGGCAGGATGCACCCAACAAACGAACAACGTTTGGGAACTGCTGGACGCAAGACTCACCAGACAGAGCGGTCTGGTGTTCCACAACCAATTGACGACACCGTTCCTACAGAAGTAGAGGCATCGCGCGACAAACCAAGTGCAGTGGAGCGCTGCTGTACGGGGTTACCGCAGGACACGGTGGTTGCATACGAAGGAGGATACAGCCGTGGCAACTCCCGTCGAGTACTTTTACCACTTCGGGAATGTACGTAAATTGGCAAATTTGTTCGTCCAAAGCAGAACAAGACAGGCCCAGGACATCCAACTTTCTTGTTTGCGTCATGAGTGAGGCGCCGTCCGTCAGGTAAGGAGTGCTGCTGTACGGGGATGCAGGGTGGCTATGCATAGTTCATACTCTGGAGCACCGGATACGGCGGTAAGATACCATCGGTTACAACGCATGTCGGTGACATGCAACGTGTTGCCGCCCACAGCCAGCCGCGGAATATGCGCAGCGTCCGCACGAACGCAAACTTGGTGCACAGGACAGGGAAATCGAGCCTGCCTACTTAATTGTCCGAACAAGACCGGCCGAGGCATGCACACGGCGGCGTGGGTGTGCAGAGTCAATAATGCACAGACGCCGACTTTACATCCAGTACGTTGGCACTGCTGTAGATGTCACACGGCGTTGTTCTTGCATATTGCTGGAGGGCCGTTGCACTGCATGCGTCTGCTTGCGTGATGCGGAAAGCTCCACAAAAAAAAATACCCGTTTACACCAAGTGGTACGAATTTTGGGAGCATGCACAGGAGCCTTGCCGCTGCAAGCAGGTTAGGAGCATCATATGTGAGCAGCAACCCAAGACCAGGCCCGTAATTCTCTCTAGTTTGTGGGCGCTTGGTGCTTGTGCTTGCGCCATCCTCTCCCTGTACCACTCACCAGCCATTTCGTCCATACAGCAGCCAGTTGTGCATGGAGTGCGAAGCTTGATGGATCGTCGCACGCTCTAGGACTCATACTTGCCCATCTTCATCACGTTGGCCTCGTGAGGCTTGCGGAGTCGGTCGCCGTCCTCTTGTCTTCATCTGCTGGGCTGGGCAGGGAGGGAGAGAGCGAGGTGGTTGTGAATGGGTTGGGCTGCGCCGTTTTGTAGCGCGGTAGCGCGGTGCGGGGGGTTAAAGATCAAAGGGGGGTACAACAAACCACGGAGCCTCTTGAAAACGAGCTCACGTGCAAACATGATGTGCTGCTACACCCAGCACCTGCGGAGCTTGTTGCTTGCTTCGTGTCGACCCGCTGTTCTCTCTCTCATCGCTTGACACAACCACACACTACCATGCGATTCCTTCAGGTTCTCTCGGTTTACGGGATAGTAGCAGCGGTGGCGGCAAAGGCTCATCGCGATGAAGCATTACCACGCCGCGGCAGCCGGACGAGAATCAACCCTCATATCCAGGCGGAGGTTGCTGCACATTCAAGACCAGCACTGGTATCATCATCGAGAACAGCAACAGCAGTAGGACAAGAGACACCTCCATCGCTGTCATTTTTCCCGGACAGACGCGCTGCAGCGAAATCAACCGAAGCAGCATCGGTGCCAGCAGCATTGGCTGGGCCGGTATCACACGAGCAATCGAGGGCACTTCGCGTCTCAGGAGGGAACCTAGAACAACGCGACGAGATGAGGGAGAGAGAGGAGCAGAAGAGAGTCAGGAGCGTCTTGCTCTACTACCCTAACCTCATAGGTATGGTCGCTCCTGCATGCGGGACGTCGTACGGGACGTCGAACTCCCATCTCTCCATTTTTAGAGCCGGTGTGAATCTTGAAATCTTTCGTTCCCAGCAAGTTCAAATAAAGCCAGCACGCTGCCTTCGAGACACGTTGGTTTACACGCTCCCAACCTTATCCTGTGGTCTCTCCCGGAGTCGATTCCCGAAGATATCTTATTCCATCAGCCACGTTACTAGAGAACATCTAATCCTCACCGGTCTCTTCTCCGTTCGGATGCATCACCGGAGGCACTTGACGAGGAGCTTGCAGAACAAGTGGCTATTTTTTTCGTTCAGTTGCTGTCAGTAGCAGTTTCGACAGCAGTGCAGCTGCACCTTTCTGAAACCCAAGAAACCCACAGGCCCTGAGCAGCGCAACGGTCGACTGATCATGTTCTTTCATGATGTTTCCATCTGGAGCGTTAACACTCCAGTGCCGCTCTGAATAAGAAACAACAGAAGCGCTCCGCTCCTTGTCGATTGGGCAAGAATCGCACATCTACATACAACTAATGGGTTCAGCGTACAGTAGTCACTGATGATACAGCAAGTAAGCATCGTGTCACTTATAAGAAAACAACGGTGTTTGCAGGGGCGGGTAAATATATGCACGTACGCCGGTCTCTAATGCGCTGCTGTCCATGGTTCAAGTCTGAGCACTCGGGAATTAGGGCTACTTTCATCCATGCCACTTGCCGCAGGTCCAATTAGTGGCTTACGCCCAAGATATTCCATTCGTTTCCTTCCCATGCCTACTGCTGTAGAGTTTCTCCGGAGATGTGATACGTTCGACTTTGGTCTACAGCTATTTTGACGTGCTTTTGAGAGCGTTCCACCTACGGAGGTTGGAGAACATGTGTTACACGCGCTTTGTCCTGCAATCGAGCGAGTTCGTCGGGTTGGGAAGTTCCGGAACATCATGAGAGGCGGCAGTGAGCGTGCGTCAAATACACACGCCTCCTTTCTTTTTCGCGTTTCAGCCCCGGGTACAAGGCTGACGTCTTCTCATTGCTCAGCCGGTTAGCGCGATCGATGCTGTTCAAGCAACGCACACATCCACACACCTAGCTTAACCTCCCCGATGACGCCCCCTCACAGGATCCCAGACCATGACCTTTACAAGCATTTTGTGTTTTCATCCGCACTCTGACTGACGTATTTTCATTGGCCAGCTGGTTAGCGCGGTCGATGCTAACAATAGAATACACACAGCCAGTTAGTGCGGTCGATGGTAGTTAAAAGAACATACATGCACACGCTGACTCCTCATTCAGGCTACGCGAGGGTGGCGCTGGTGTTGGCGAGCTACTACCTTGCGGAGACCAACTGGAAGGCAAGGTGAGAACGAAACAGAAAATACCGCGCACGGACACGTGGCCCCGGCTCTGGATGCGTATTTGTCGTGCATGTTTTCGATGTGATGATGCCCCCTCTTCCACTTACATAGCGTCCTTGGTATCTCGGAAAGGTTTGGGTCTCGTGGAGAAACAACAAGAGCCGGTGGTCCCTATCGGGCGACTGTTGACCATAATCCCCTCCCGGAATAACTTGGCGATTTGTACACATGTGACTACAGCTACGCTTACATTGGACAACGCCGATCGAGGCATCAACCCGTCGCGATTGATCACTTATGACGGGCGCAGACTGCATACACACATCTTGCCCCCTGGCCCTGTTGCTTCTGTGGTTCTGTGTCTGACATTGCTGTGTTGATGCAATCTCCTTGTTTTGCCAGCTCGTGCTTCTACCTGGTCGCGTTTGCGGGTGATGCGGTCGACGGTCACGTTGCAAGAAAGTTCAAGCAAGGTGCGTCATGGCTTTGTTGAAGAGGGTGCCCTATGGTGTCTGCAACTGCGCAAGATCCGATCTGCTTCAACGTTCCCCCGTCCCCTTCCTTGTCTCTTGAATGGATCCTCTTGACGGATCGGCGAGGCAGCGGGCTGCTTTTCTAGAATAAGCGCCTCGTACACCACGCGAGCACCCAATCTGGCGCGCAGTTCCCTCCCCACCCCCCACCCAACGTTTGCCTCCTGATCTGAACGCAAGTCCAACCTCAATACGAAGCTCCTGTCGTGTCGTTGTAAATCGAATTTCAATTCACCTCCTCGGTGTCCGCAGATTGGAAACCTCGATGCCCCTATCAGGAGTACTATTATAGCAGTGGTGCATCTCGAAAGGGACGCGTGGTCGATGTTCAAAAGACGAAGGGGCAAGCTACAAATGAACTGAGGCACAAAAAAAATGGCCCTGAGGAGCGTTTTCCATTCTTAGCGACTGGCGCCTCTTTCGTTGGCCAGCCGACTAGCGCAGCGGATGATGACAAAAAGGACGCATACACAAACACGAAACACCCTTCTTGCCATGGCCAGCCTCTCGGTTCGGCGCGGTGCTGGACATGGTGACGGACCGCTGCTCGACGGCTGGGCTGCTCCTGGTGCTGTCCCGGCTGTACGACCGCCGCCACGCCTTCGCGTTTCTCGTGCTCATGTTCATCGATCTCTTCAGCCACTGGATGCACACACACAGGCGAGGAGGCTACTCTCTAGACCTTACCCCTTCCCACCATAATCATACGCACTAGTTGGGCTGCTGTACGTGGTTGATATGTGTTCCACCTGGTGAAGAGTGCTGGTCTTCAGGTGCCGTCATGTTTGTTGGTGAAGTGGCTGACCATGGGTACGTTGCTGCGCACGTGTTCCTCGGAGTTCTTGCGCTGGAAAGGAGTGTGTGCTTTGGAGTGTGGTACTACTTCAAACAATTTTGCCGGCATTCTCGATGGCGATTCCCCTTGTTCGCCCGGCGCCAACCCTTGGCTTCAGTCAACTTCGTTGGGCCGTAAAGGGAGGACGTGTTGGGCACCTATCATGCACAGAGCGCGGGCACACGAGGAAGAAGAACCGAACCAAGAAAGTGCTTAAAAAAAAACACGATGTGCTGCCGTCTCCCCTTCCCCGCTCCCGCGTTCTCTCTCCTCGTTTTTGTTGGTTTTCAGCGTCGTCGAAAAGCATCACAAATCGACGGCCACCCTCAAGCGGAGGAACATGTTGATCCGAACGTACTACGACAACCTCCCGTTCTTTGCCTTCTGCTGCATCGGTGCCGAGCTGTTCTACGTGCTGCTGTACCTGCTGCACTTCGTCTCGGAGGAGAGCCGTGCCTTCGCCCCGTTGCGCACGGTGAGGGCGATCATCAGCTGGGTCCCCCCCGCAGTTAATTATTGAGGGCCCCACCCACACACACTGTCTTCCAAGCCCCCTTGGAGGAATGTCAGGGTAATGAGTTCGGGTCATCCGTGCTTGTTGGTGTTTTTTATTGGCTGCGCCGCGCTGCTCTCAACTAGTTGTTGTTCAGCCATCGCTACTTTCGAATGGTTCCAGTCCGAGGACGCGGCTGTCACTACGTACTCACTGCGACAATCCCTCGCCTCATCCACCGGCGCCCCCCCCCTGCTGCAGCGCATGTTTGCGCTTAGCTTAGCCCTTACCTAGTGAACGGGAGAGGGTGCACTGCACAGAGGGCAGAACGGGTAACAAGGATAAATGACTCCCACGTGATGTAACACTGGTATACGATCCCCCCATCCCTCCCCCACCGTCGCCCATTCCTACGCCAGTCCTGCTTCTGGCTGTGCCTCCCGGCGTGCGTGCTGAAGCAGTTCGTCAACATCGCGCAGATTTTCTCGGCAGCGAGTTGTCTCGCTCTTGAGGAGCTGGATCAGAAAGAACGCTAACTCGCCTGAGATGATAGCCAGGGAGAGTTACAAATAGTGCACTGTGAATAGAGCAAATGTCAATCCGCGGGCACCGCCGTGCCTGGTGGATCCGCCCATCCCGGTGTAGAGATGAGCGGGGGTGCGGCCATTCATATGCAAGAGGTTGGGGGTGGAGGGAGGCCGCGCATCGGCATGGTTGATACGTTGATGCTTGTAGACGACGGAGGCGGGCTTGTCGCTATCGTTCATGGACATTGTACAGCACCCACTGCTGACGCTGGCGTCCCTCACACGAACCCCGGGACGAAGCAACAGGTTGACTTCCCTCCCACCAGGCGCCGCATCAAAGGCACCGATCGACAAGAGCGCTATTTGGCGCTCGGTTGTTTCGATCGAATCAAATACGCTACAGGTGAGCGAGCGGCTGCACCCCACCCGTAGAAGCCGCTTGATTGAGGGGGCTTCCTCCCTCGAGAAAAGTTTCCTTCTCAAGGGGGTATCAAACGAAAAAATCGAACCGTTGTTCGTGATGCCGCTGTGAGATGCGGATGCCGTGGGATACATCTGTTTTGGCGAATCCGCTCATCGGCATTCCGCATTGGTGTACAAAGAGAGCGTCGGTAGGCGGGCCAGAGAATCTAAATGTTTGAGAACTGTACATGGTACTCGAAATGGTCGTTTTTTATGCTTGTGCCCACACGGGGGCTTCACGAATCGGTCGTTGAGTTAGAGGCGCGGAGGATAGGTACTTTTTGTTTGAAATACGAAACGAAAACCGTTTTTTTTTGTATATTCCGTGGTTCATTTGTACCGTCTCTCTTGAACCGTCGATTTGACACAGAGACGAGACGATGGTTTGAAAGGATAGGTAGAGACAGACGCAGTAACTACTGGCTTATTGGTTTTGGCTGAGTTGGAAGCGCGTTGTTGTTGTCGGGCGGTTCGGCGGCGGGTCTGTCGTTGTAGAGTAGAGTTGACATATTTTTGTGCCATTTACGACTGTCGTGAGTTGGGGGCTCGGAACTCCTACTTTGTTTCTACTAGTCCTATTTATGCTTTCAGATTCGATTTTCGTGCACTCTCTTTCAGAAGGGGACAACAGCCGGAAAACTGTAAACTGTACTATAGCATGAAAAATGTTGGTGCAATTGTATCGACGTACATGCTCGAGCTTGTTGTTTGTTGTAGGTACATTATTAGTGTTTCACACGTCATCGCCGTCAACACGAACCTGGCCGGCTTGTATGTGCGGCGGTGGTAGTGTATTTTTTGCATTGAGACGTGTTCGACACGTCACATCAGGCAGTTCCTAAGGACGAGTCACGCTCGTCCCAGGACAGCGACAAAAAGCAGTCAAAATCGATGCCCTCGTACGGGTGCCTCTAAGAATGTTTCCTTGGCTTGCCCGGCAAGAATAGTTATGAACCTCTCGGGCGGAGAAATGTCTTCTGATTCGGTGCTTTCGTGTGCTGCGGAGGTGGACAACGAGTAGCCAAGGCCTCGCTCGGCAAGCGGCGTGAAGCACGTGCCACGTTTTTCCATTTTCCGCGCCAACAAGTCCTGTTGCGTGCTGCAAATTTGGTCCTGACTTCACACGACTGCTGTGCGCGAGATGAAAAACAGACCCGATAACCTGTTAATAACCAGTAGCGCGTCCAACAAACCTCTTTTTGTGGTTTCCATATGTTGTCATCCACGGCATCCGCCCGAAACACCTGACCGTAGGAAGTTGTCCGCGATTGAGCAGGTATGTTTCGCCCCCATTTGGTAGTCTGCGGCTTCTCGATCGGTACCAGCTACAAATACACGACCTCTTCTAGATTGCTTCTGAAATGAATGGACTGCATCTTATCTAGTCTACACAATATATCAGAGTTCTAAATGTCCGAAGTCAAACACTTTACATCAGGCTCACGCGGACACCGCCCAAAACCGTCTACCGATCGGAATTCCGACGGTAAAATCCCTTTGGCAGGCCAGAGTTCGACGACCAAGCACAAGTTGTAGCACACGCTTCCAGAACGCAGCACCCGAAAGTTAGTCGGGAATACACCATCAGCAAGCCGCCCACGCTGGTCACACAGCCTCAGGCACACTTGCTTACGGTTTCATTTGGGAAAAGGATCGTCTTAGCAAGAACAGCAGCAATCAGAAATGGGCACGGTGCGAGTCCAGCTCGCAAACCAACCAACAATTCCCCCCGATCCCTCCATGTCGATCTCACCATTGGACCAACAAACTTGTCGATCAATAAGAGTCCGGCCGTGGGTGTCACGACCGACCAACATGCAGCAGCATGAGCTAACAAAACACCGCATGCACTCAGAGAGCTTGCCACAGGCACCGTTCAACCGCCTTTTGCCAAGGTACATTGGTCGATGATTTGTTCTTAAGCCACGGTCCTCGCCATTCATACTATCGTCGCTTGCAGCAGCAACTGCCTACCGTGCTATCCCTTCTTTTCTGTTGAGGTGCAACCATCCGGGATTGGTCACACACAAGATTCGATCTGAGTGCCGTTTAGGCTTGGGCCGGCTTTAGCAGCCCTCCTTCCCGCTGCTGTAGAGGAGGCGGTGACCACCACCGCTGTGCGGATAGAGACCGACCCGCCGCGCTCGGGTCCTCGCTTCGAAACCAACCTGACCAATCAGAGCTTGGCGAAGAGTTCGTCCCATGTCCCTTGGCTCGGAGCATCTCCGAGCGAGTTGATGACGGTGTAGCTCTTCCCTATCGCGCCCGCCTGGCCCACGGTCTGCGCCCCGCCGGAGCGCGGCATGATAGCACAAACACGGCGGTTCCACAATGACAGAAAAAAGGTACACAAGAGTGCTGTTGGTTCAAAACAGGCGGGGAAAGCCCTGTAGATTCGACAATTTTTGCTCTTTCGGGGATCCGGCCGGGGGCGGGGCATGCACATGCACTCATTCCGCGGGCGCACCTGCAACAAGCTTCCATGTAGATTGGCCAAAGAAGAGCGCGGAAAATAGATGTTGGGGCTGCCTTTGTGGGATATTTTATTGTGCAACTCAACCGGGTGTGTTCGCACGCAAATGTTGTCGAAACGCCGGTGGTCCCGACCCAGTTGGGGCCAAACGTGTCTGGTGTCTTCGTGCTGCCCGTCGCAATCTGCGGCCACCAATTTGGTCGATTCCCGGCAACCAGAGCACAACTCATGCATGCAACACCAGGTCCTTCCTGCATGCTCCAACTTGTGTGGTTGGTTTGCTTGTTGCATCTATTCTCGGAACCCACGCAAGCCTCTCCAAGCCAGTCCGATAGAGTCGGGGCCGCATAGAATGCTTCTTCTCTGTTGGATCTCCCCGAACGATATTTCTCCTGCATGACAATCTCAATCTTCTGGCTCTTGTCAACAATCGGGCTGAGATCTGCTTCAAAAGATTTCCCTCACTTACGCGAAACCTCTTCGTTCAAAATGTCAACTGTGGAGCCACCTCCGCTGCCAAGCAGCATTCCACTCACGTGAAGCAAAATGAGTAACGCACTCAATCTGCTCCCACAGCACCTCTTCATCAACTGGCTAACATCAAGTAAGTACCGAGCTAAATAGCGTACCCCGCATAAAAACAACTCAAAACTAAAACTCCATATTTCGAGAAGCACGTGCACCCCCACTCAAACTTAGAACAATAGAGTTGCTTCTTATCATTTTCACCTGCGTAAACGCCTCCGCCACCGAGCTGGGGTTGACGTCCCCGGCCTCCGAGTCGCCCTGCCGCAACGATACCATTCGCTTCGCGGACCCCTTCTCCGGGGCGTCGGGGGACACGGCGGCCCCGCTGTTGGAGTAGGCCAAGAACGGGTCCCCCTTGATCTGCCCGGGGCGTACGATGGAGTAGCCGAAGCCCCCCTCTTTGGCGGCTCTGATGCGGGGCGGTTGGGGGGGGTTACGCACCGGTCGGTTATACCCAAACCAATGGACCCCCTACTGACCATGAATCATCCCCTTCGACAGGCTCAACCCACAAGTAACCCTCGGTGCGCTGCCGAGCATACTGCATGGTAAGAGTCCATTGCTTTTTATTTTCTTGACTTTCTAGCATGTGGTTGGTCACCCGTGTCGTGAACATAGAGCGGTCAACTTTCACCGTTGTCATGGGGGCAGAAAGAAGCGCTACCCGAAATAAGGATGTTACACGGTCTCCGAGGTGTGCCCGCAAAACTAGGATGTTACACAGCAGTTCGACGTGTGCCGGCAACGGAAGGGTGTGCATTTCTAGGAGCAATCCGCGGCAATACGTTGTAGCGTCTCACACTCCGTATCGACGGTACCAAAACACGATAGAGCGAATCAGAGAAAGAGAGATAGAGAGAGCTAGAAAGAGAGAGGCAGAGAGGGAGAGAGAACTTGATCGTTCATCTAGACAAGAACCACCAGAGGTTTTGGGTCCGAGCGCGAAGTTGTGTGAGCAAATTCCCTCCGGGAAGTGGTTCTTCCCAATTCCCCAACGGCAGTCAACTTTCGTGTGAGCTCACAGCAGCTACAAGGTGTTTATTGTAGTAACTTTGTTTTCGGAGGACGTACGAGAGTGGCGCACCAACTCGTGCTGAAAACTAGACCCAAAGGACAGCAGTGAGTGATCTGAATCTCCGCAAGACAACCCGAGGTTCTATCAGACCCCGCCCAATACGCTCCTCTCACTTTCTCACGGCCGCCTCCCCTTTCGCCTTCGCGTCTAGGACCCCGAAGGCATTGAGAATCACGAACGGGAACTTGTCCGCTCTCGTCACCCCCACCGACGAAAGTAGCACGAACCGCTTCAAGCTCCCGCCGCTGGGGAAGGAAACGCACGGGCAGACGGCGGAGGAAGCACCAAGTTAAGCACTCATGGATGTGAAGATTATGATGACGACGATGACAACGACAAGGGCGTCCGCACCCAAAATAGCAACTGTTTAGGACGGCGAGTACGACCGCAACAAACAACGGTAGTGGCAACGGCAGCGGCGAGAGAGATAAAAAACCAAACAACAGGGCCAAACAAATTGGTCACAGGCTCAGTTGGTGGCTTTGATATCTTGAAATCGTTGGATGCCATAGCGACCACCAAAAAGTAGGTGGCCAAACGACCGATCGCCGCTATTCCTACACGGCGAAAACCCAGCGAACGTACGCTGCACGTCCAGCCTTTCTGTTGATCCACCAACACTTCTCACCCTGCCGCCGCCCGCAGCATGTTCCCCACGGCCAGGTTGTCGACGGCGTCGGGAGTGTTGCCCCCGTTCCACCGCTTGGAAGGGAAAGCGGTCGTCCCGGTGCACGCCACCACGCACGCGGCCCCCTGCACACGTACACACACATCACGGGAGCCACCCATGCAAGAAGCATGTCATGTGTTTCTATGGTATGAAAGTGCAGGTTGTGTACTCATGTAAACGCATGCCGTAGTCGCTACATCGTTGGCTTCGCATCCCTACCACGCCGGACGGAGCGATATGCCGGGTTTTCACCAACCCAGGATACGTCTGACAAGAATGAACCAGTAACCTGGTCATCATCCTTACGTTAGAGAGGGGGGGGGAATACCGTTATACACAACACACGAGCATGCGCGCGAATCACCATATGACTGATACAAGAATTCTCTCCTGCACTGGTGTCGATGAAAGTGGCGTCGATTGTCTTTTCCTTTGACCGTCAGCAGAAAGAAGAGAGAAAAACACGGCTGGTCCATGATGAAGGAGGCGTTTGTGGAGTTGTGAAGCTGGGAAGCGACCATGGTTTCACGGGTACTCTTAGCAAACAAGAAATACTGTTCTTGCACATGTACAAGCTGGGCGATGGAAGGGGGGAGGAGAGGATTCTAGTTGAGAGTGCCCCAAGCACAGGCGAAACAATCGTTTTCCCTGCACAGCAAAACGAGCGCGTCCGCAAGCAGCGGGCAAATGCGTCGCTTGCGTCTTCAAATTCTTACCCAAAACGATTCTCGGTGCCGTGTTAGGTGCGTCGCGGTAGGGTATCGTTGTACTCCGTACCGGGAAAAAAATCGTGATGAGATAAACGAGGGTGGTGTCACGGCCGCAACGCGGCGCTCTTTGTATATCACTCTAACGCCGTCCGCTACCTTCATCGCGGCGACGAGGCTGCTTTCGTCCAAGATGTCTCCCTGCTCCAGCTCAATCTCAAGGCCCCCCCCGGCCGAAGATAGCAAAGCTTCCTTGGCCTTCTCGAGGTTCCGCACGAGCCCCTTCACCTTGTACTTGCCGGTGGATGCTAGGCTGCCGTGCATTGTAGCACGACGGTTTGAACGGGGCAAAGGGCACGGCGCTCGGGACGGGGGTAAAACAAGCGGACTTATGTGGGGCAAGGCCGAAAGATGAAGGCAGCGGGCTGGCTGGGCTTGCTCAAGTACGTCTCATTTAACAAAGAGAGCCTGCATACCATGGTATCTGGTATGGTTGGTTTACACAAGGGCGGCAAATACAACAGGGGGACGGCGAATAAGTACATGCCATGGTGTGGTTACCATGGTGTGGCATGCCTTGGTGTGGTTGTAATGTTTTCACCTTTGAGTGACCAAACGCCCGATACCCCCGGAAGCACCCACGACGACCACCGTATCTCCCTCCGAAATCTCCCCTCCCGCTGCTGCCGACATGGAGGCTCGCGAGGCAGCGGCACCCAGCTTAGCTCCGGCTCTCGTCCTGCCAGCGCTGCTGCATTTTGCTGGCGTGTGCGAGAGCGCCTGCTCGCCGTGCACAAAAGTAGGTGTGTGTGTCGTGACGTTTTCGTCTACTGCAGCTGTAATCCTACATCCACCTGTTGTAAGAAAAGAAATACCATGATGGATTGAGGAGGAAATGTTCCACTCCACATGTGTGTCACCACGGGCGGTACAGATTGTTTTCTGGCTTGCAGGACGGCCTCCTGCATACCAACAGAGGTCCAGGATTCGAGAAAATATACATACAACCAGTGAGATACCCGCATGAGATAATTCTACAGCAATCGCAGGGGATGTGTTGGAAGTCTTTGCAGTGAGTGGGGGGAATGATTTCACTGAGTTGAGACGTTGAGACAGCAGGGCATGGCTACAGATGCACACTCTACTGAATACTGAACGCTTGGATTTACGGCATACGCTCAATGTTCATTGCAGGTACCCTACCTAATCGTCAGGGAGAATCACGCTATGTAGTAGGATACTTGGGATGTGTTGCAATGACAGTGGTTTGGCGCATGCATCTTCTGCAATGGTATCTACGTGTAGGTCAGTTGCAGTCTAAGGGGTACCGCATGTCAAGTAAGATACTACAGCAGTAGTCCCTAGACCGATTTTCGAAGCTCTAAAAGCTCGAGTACTCCGCAGCAAAAGCGGTGACAATGCCGAAAACGGCGGAAGGCGTTGTAACAGTCTCGTAGAAAGCTCTCCGACTACATGTAACTTTCATTTGATTCTATCATCCTCTTCATCGTGGAGTGCTCGAGCTTTGAAATTCGGTGCAACGGGGAGTGGTGTTATGCTGCATACCGTATATGACACAAGATAACACACCCCCTGGATCAATTTTCAAAGCTCGACTACGCCACGACGAAGAGGGTGCATCAATGAAACAATACATTGTTGGAAAGCTCCCAACGAGGCAGCTTCAACGCCACCGTTTTCGGCATTGTGACTCTTTCTGTTGTTGACAAATCGAGATTTGAAAATCGGTCCAGGGGGTGTGTTATCATGTGTCATTGGTACGGGTAGGACGGAGGTTTTACTGTGTGCATGTAACGTTCATGACCCATTTCTTACCTCACGTCCAACGACACGAACGGTAGACCCCGGCGAGAAGAAGGCCTCCGAGTGCGGCAGAAAGGACGATGTAAGAAGCACCACAGCTGACACTGCCCACGCCATTTTTGCGTCGTGGAATGCGAGTACAGCAGGCAGGCGGGGCCGAGAATGTTCAAGACAGGCCATTGGGGCCCCGTGGCTTGTTCGCGACCCCCCCCTGCCAGAAGGTCGGCGGAGATGCACACACACGGTGCACAGCACCGAGAGGCACGACACTACTCGCACTATTGCCAACCTTTGCTGCTACAGCTTGGAAAGCCACACGACAGATCCACTTCTTCGCGCTTGGGAGGAATATTTAGTTTGGGCCCCGTCGGGACCAAAGTTGGAGAGGAAAAGAGAATAGGTGAGAGACCGTGTGAGACTGCGCTGTGAGAAATATGGTAGCGAAAATGGCATCGATACGGCGGGGCGGTGCACCGAAGCAATCGATCGATACAGTACATTTTGGTGTTTTATCTGGTTTTATTAATGTGAAGGTGCACCGAAGCATTTCCCTAATTTGGTGCACTGGGGAAAGTTGGGGCAGTTTTCTTGCCTGAGACTACTGGTGCAGGACGACAAATCAACAGCACAGCGGCAACAATAGAGCGTCCGAGGCGGCATATTTAGTGTTTGAAATTGATTTCAGTGGGTTGTTCTTTTCCTGGTCAGTTTTTGAGATCATCTTTCCGGTGTACGCCGCGGTACACAGCAGCCGAAGAGGTGGTGTAGACTACTAGTGTCTAGCCGACATCACAGCCAGGGACGCATACGTGACTCGTGACTACCATCGACCACGCCGACATTTTTGAAAAGTATGGTCTGCAGATGTTCTTTCTACGGCCAGATGCATGGTCCATAGACCGGGTGAGCCCTCCCCACTAGTCCTAATTAGGCAGGCAGAGTACCTGCCGAAACTGGGTTGCCTCTTGTAAACGGCCCGTCATGGTTCACAATGTAGGATACTGAGCAGAGTATCTTGCTTCTTCGAAAGAATACAAGCACACGTTCATCGCTCTCATCTCGTTGGTGGTGACATGCAGTATAACCTCGCGACTGGAGCCGCTCAGATTCAAACGAGTCATCTCCATTGATAATTAGAAAAATAAATACACACACAGAAAGATTTATGTTTCCTAGATTATGTTCGTACAGCAGTAGTGCCGGGAGGAGACCACGCACCTCGCCCGCCCGCCCTCACTGACAGACACCCACACAGACCTGTTGGATTTTTTTCGCGACTCGTGCAGCCGCTTTCTGAGCATGCATTTATCCGTACCGGACGTAGACTTTGGAAACCCGATTCAGGCACGCGTTTCTTGGGTCGCCGAAGAGGGGATCTGCGCAACCACTTCCCCGCCCGCAAGATGCCCATGGTGTGGACCTGAACGACAAACCCTCAATTGACCGATACTTGTCAAGCAATGGGTGCCTTACGTCGGACCGATCTTACTTATTTCGCCGATATCAGGGCTAGTTCGGGTGTGAACAGCATAATAACTTATTTTCCTTATTTTTTGCGGCAAAAGCTCCTGGTACGACGTCCACCTCGTCAGCGTCTCGAACCTTTTCTCATGTCCATGGTACCCCCCTTTTACCCAACGTTTCGTTCTTTTTATTCAACCCAGCTAACTAGCGGCGGGGCTCTACAGACTTCTGTAGCAGTGGGCCGCAGGAGGGCGGTGAGTGAGCAATAGGCGGTGATGCCAGGGCCAAAGAACAAGCAGAGGGCCACGGCCGAGCCCCGTAAGGAAAAGTCGTTGGACAGCTTCATCCCGACGTCTTACATGGCACTGCTCGAAGGGACGCTGCTCACAAACGGCGACATTAAGGTGAGCGCTTTGGACGGGACGACCGGTGCCTCTTGTTGCCTTTTGCGTGAAATGGCTTTCCCTTGCCGTTATCTTGTTCGTGGTTTAGCCTGCCGCCGCCCGCTGGTTCATCAATATGCCCTACAGTAGGTGTGATGTTGCTTTTCAGCTTTCCCGTACGTTCAGAGTGAAGGATTCCATGTATGTTCCAACAGGACGTGAGTACGCACGTCGAGTGCTTGCTGTCGTCGCGTTGTGGTGTTCATAAGACATTAATAACATTTCTCTACCGTGTAACCACTCCCTCGTACGCTTTACGTAGTCGCGAAACTTTCTTCCGAGGCTAGCTCACAATAGTTACGCTAAAACACGAACACTGGAATGTCCATATCCCTTTTCAAGGCTGATCTGGATCCCTTTTTGACAGGGGTATTTCTTCTCTTTCTCTTTCGCTATTTAGTTCAATTTATTTCTTCCGTTCTTCCGCTCTTTGTTTGTTTGTTTGTTTGTTTCTTATTCTTTGTTTGTTTGTTTGTTTCTTTCTTTGTTTCTTTCTTTCTTTGTTTCTTTCTTGTTTATTTCTTCCTTCTTTCTTTCGTTCCGTTCTCTATTTAGGGGTCATGGCGGGCACGACGAGAAGATGAGGTATCTCAAGACTTCTTGATGGTTCTCATGGACAAGGGCGTGTACGATGGAGGATTTAACCTACAATTGCCCAACACCCGTCCCTCAGCCCCGTCCGTGCAAGAGTGAGTAGCGGTGGGTACCGTTGATTCAGGCGGGAAAGCGGCACACTGGAGGGGATGTGAAATGGAAAAACGACGGAATGCATGCTGTGACACGGATTGTTAACGCGATGTGCAAATGTACGCCGTTTGGGTATCGTGAGCGTCCTTGGGGGTCAAGACCGATTAACCGTGTAGCTCGGGTTAGGCGACGACGTGGCATATCGGAAATAGTGGAGAAGCCGTAATGTGGCGGCAGTTGGCAGATCCGATAGGAAAAAGACTGATGACGCGAGACAGGATAACGGTCAGGTTTTCGCACCATCCGAGGGCCTTAACAGGACTTGCTGAGTGAGAAGGTTGGATTAGCGGTGGAACACCGGTCAGCGAGTGAGAGCGTGACACACATGTTCTGTGATGGTCGACCAAGACCTGTTGCAGAAATGGGGGACACCGTCTTTGAGGCTCACGACTGTGATCGCCTTCACAATACATATTTTTCCTATGCGAGGCTGGCTGAAACTCACGTCTTTCATCAAATAGCCGTTCGATAAACAGACGCACTGCGGCATCGTTGGAAGGAGGAGCGTCAATCGACCAAAATCGATGCAGAATCCATTGCCCCGTTCCCATCCTTGCTGTGGAGTTGGAACGCCGTATGCTCTCCGTGTGTGGTGGTCCTCCCACTGCTCTGCTGTCTCAGACGCTGGACTGAATTTTTCCAGCGATATCTCCAGATTGCACTGCGTCTTGTTTTTTGTCCGACCTTGACGTTGTACGTCCTGAAACCGTCGTGTGTCGGCCAATCAGAGTCCACGATAAGTGGCACTCGTTCGAGTGGGTCGAGACGACCAAGTCTTCGTGCAACGTGTGGGGCCGAGGCCTCAACAACCAGTTCGGGGAGTTCTACACGATCGGCGTTCACGACCCCCGCCAGAGAAGGATCGTCATATACAAGGTAAATATCGTCATCGTTGCCTGTGTGTGTACATCTTCCCCATAGGCTGTGTTTGTCGCTCGCAGGTATCGTTCTCCCTTTCGCGCAGAATATTTTTTTTATCATTTTGCGGTGTGCACGCCTTGAAACTCATCGCGGCGAGGGTTCAGCCGGCCTCTTCGCCTCGTCAACGGTCGGGGCTTTTGCGACAGCTGAAGCTGTGCGTGACGCGAACGTCATTTTTGTACGTCTTGATGATGATGCCTACTTGTCGCGCCTTCTGCCGTCGCATCGTTCATCTCCCCCTCCCCTCTCCAGGTCTGCGAGGCAGAAATGCGCAGAGCTCAAGCTTTTGCGCAGATGACGATCACGTCCGCCGGCCGTCTCCCCGCCGCCGCTCCGAGCGACCCTGGTCTCGCCGCACCAAAGAGAACAAGGTCGGCGACAGCTAAGGCGGCGGCGGTGGCAGCAACGGCCGGGGGCAGGCAAAAGCGGCCCCGCGCGTACGACGCCAGCCCGAGAGAGATGGCCGCTGCCGCCACCTTGCTGTACCAGCAGAACCTGACCGTGGAGACGGGCGCTTGCAGCGGTGGCAGCAGTAGCAGCAGCAGCAGCGGCGGCGGCTGCTACCCGAGGGTGGACGCGTTTTGTCCGAGTTATGACGGAGATGCCGGTGGCGGTGGCGGTGGGAGCGGGAGCGGAGGGGGGCCGGCGCTGGGGGGGGGTCGGCCCTTGGCCTTCCCTGCACCTCAAGTGCACAAGGTTTGTGCTTGAGTTCAACTCCAACGATTCCCTACACATGGCCTGCATGTTGGTCTCGCGGGCTGGATATGGTCTGGGTGTGGATCTTTACACACACAGCATTTGTTTTTTCTTACACGTGGTTCACCTGGATATAATTTACGTGTCAATCTTCACGCACGCAGCCTCTGTTATTCTTACCTTCACCTCGTACAGCATATTGTGCATCATGTGTCTGCCTGCAAGTATTTCGTACACTATGTGCTTGATCTCTTTTTTTTCTCTCCAGCGGGCTGGACATCGAACGGCGTGTTGCCTTTATGTCGTGTTTTTGTGTTGTGGCCTTGCCAAGTGGTATATCGTGTACGTGAAACGCTGCGGAAGGTGTTCAGTGGCATGTGTGAATCGTGCCAGTCATGCCTTTGTTGCCCGATTGTGACATACCCGTTGACTTTCATATCTCGTCCTCTCTCTTTTGTTGTCCGTCGGGTGTCGGCGACTGGTTTCTATTCCGAAACACGAAAACGCCGCTGTTTAGGAGAACCCCGCGCGTCCGACCCCGGTCCCGATCCCGGCGGAAGTTCGGGCGCTCCCAGGGTTTTCTGGACGGTTTGAGGATGCCAGTACGGTAGACTTCGCCAACGCTAGCATGGACGAGCTAGCCGATCTGTCGATCCTCGGGGCTCGCTTACAGAGGGAGAAGGTTAAGATCCAGGAAGACGCCCGGGCCCAACGACAACCATTTGAAGAGGTGAGTCTGATGAGTTTTCGTTTTTTTTTTTTTTCAGCGTTGTTGGTGGTGTTGGATGTTGATGTCGTTGTTACTGTAGCTGCCGTTATGTTGTTATGAAGCAGGTCCAGACGTTTGTAAAACACACACACACATGGCGATGTCGTTTAAGATCTGAAGACGCTTTGTTTTTCCTCCACGCCAAACTAGACGAGAAGTAGATTTCAGAGCTTCCTGCAGAAGCCGAAGTCGGCCCAATCGATAGGGTAAGGGCGGTGCACCATTTATGTTGAGGAATAAAGAGCTTTTGGATGACCTTGTAGTCGAAGTTTTTCAGCTCTTTTACGTGATCAATTTTGAAGTTGTTGTGTTTTTGTCCTTTTCACCTGTGGTTGATTCATCAGCAAAAGAAGGAGTATCAGAGCAAGGTGCAGAAGGGAAGGGCAGACGAAGCGATGATGCTGAGGGCGGTGCAAGAGCTGAGGAAACAAATGCTGGAGGACGAGCGGAAATTGGAGTCGGCAACACAATGCGTCAAGGTGAATTGAGTGTCTGCTTTTTTTGTGTCTTGGCCTGCAATGAAAACTACGAGACGCAGCACAACGCAACAAAACAACACGTACGGCACACATGTATGCGTGGTTTTGGCTGCGCTTGAAGTCGGCGACGCAACGCGTCACGATGAAGGGATTGCCTTTCGAATGCACGCTAGGTTTGGTTCATGTTTGAAAGGGTTTGAGTTCCAACAGGATACTGATACCGCGGCGGCGGCAGCAGCAGCAGCAGCAGCTACGTCGGGAACAACAAACAACTGGATGCTGTAGAGCCCAGAGCGCATGCCTGGCACGACACGCACGTTGAGTGTTCGTGGTCCTGGCGAAGATTTGGTTTTGCATGCAACAGCCTAACAAGTTTTGGGTTTGCCGTTGGACGAACAGATGTTAGTGTGACGATTGGAGCGCCTCGACGCATGGACCCCAACACGACAAAACACAAACGCTTGTGGTCGTCACGAGCAGTTTCAAGGCGGCGGCACGCGGTGGTTCGGCAGTTAACTATCGGACGCTATTGTAACGATTCACCTCGCCTGACCTGTTTCACCGTAGTTGACCATCTTTGCTAGCACGCTACCCCTCGCTTATATGTGGTATATGTCTCTTCTTCGTGCTTCGTGTTCTCGAGTCTTGCACACGGAAACTGTTGTTGTGTTGTCGTTGCGGCGTATTGTTTTCACAAGACAACCCCGTGCTGACCTCTGATGTCCTGTACCCCGCCTTTCGCACCGCTCCCGAAACCAGTTGGAAATGAGCATCCGTGGTCACAAGCCCTAAGAACACCATCAAGGCTTACGCGCCGTCCTCTTGTTTGCTGCGGTCGTTGCAGCCTTCAATCACAGTCCAAAAACCCCATCAAGGCTCACGCTCCTTCCTCTTGTTTGCTGCGGTCGTTGCTGCCTTCATTGACAGTCGAAAAACCCCATCAAGGCTTACGCTCCGTCCACTTGTTTGCTGCGGTCGTTGCTACCCTCGATGACAGTCGAAAAACCCCATCAAGGCTTACCCTCCGTCCTCTTGTTTGCTGCGGTCGTTGCAACCTTCAATGACAATGACAATGGCAATGAATCGGCCAGAGCTACGAGGCGGAAGAGCAGCACGCGCTCATGCTGTGGAACGAGAAGTGGGAGACACAGGTCGCGCCCTTCATCGCGCAGTGTGAGCAGGTGCGGCATTCACAGCCCCAGCCCCGTCCACGGACCCTTGGGGTTGGGCTGGCAGTGTACGTGTCCTGATGACAAGCGGGAGAGATTCGGATCGCTGGTATTGCTCAGCTCGAACAAGTGTTGACACAGCATTCGTATGGCACCTGTGGCAGTCCTTGTCTCAAACCCTACGTTTGGGAGCTTTAGACTAGCCCTCAAGTGAGCAAGACCGGGGGTCGCGCCAGTGCCCTTTTATATTATCCAAACAAGTGACCGGAGTGGGCTGGCTCATGAGAGCACAGTGTCATCAAAAAGGTGACGCAAGAGGAACAATAAAGCAGGCAGCGGGACCAACCCACAGCTGTTATGAGACCTTTCCCAAAGCTCTACAAGCTCACACAGCTGACGACGTGCTTTTGACTCGAACAGCCCAGCGAACCTCAACCAATCAAAATGAAAACTTCCAAAATCTGTGTCTCCGGTCTTAGAAGCGCAGATTTTGGTCCGGCGCTCTCGGCTTGCCATCCGGCTGCACTCCGTCGATGAAATTCATCAACACACGGCAAACGAGGAGAAGAACGAGAGAAACGAGCCATGGCGAATCCTGCCATGTTTTCCACAGTTTGATTGCGTTGTATCGAAGAGCGCGTGTTTAGGAGAAGACGAGGTACACAAGGCATAACAAATGCTATCATATTTTCCACAGTTTGGCTGCGTTGTATCGAAGAGTGCGCTTTGCGACACTATCGACCGAGCGCAACGGAGAATATTCACCGGGGGTTCGAACACGTTCCATTCCGTGTCCTCATAAACACCGACGTCCTCCTGTGTGCCCCAAAAAGAATGCTCACAAGCCGGAGGAGGCCATGTAGGTAAAGTGCGTTCCCGCTGGAAAAGCTTCCTCTTTCTTGCCCTCTCTCTCCCACATACACGCTCACGAAACGTCCCCCGCCTTTGAAGCAGGGGGTCAAAAAGAAAGCCGAGGAGCTGGAAATCAGGACCCGCGAGGCGGAGAGGGAGAAGCTGGAGCTTGAGAGGGAGAAGGAGAGGCTCCACAGCGTCAAGCAGATCGGTGACGTCTTCCCGGCGAATCAGTCCATGTAATTGGTCAAGAGGTCCGCCCGCTCGGTCCAGTTTACTCCGCGAAGCTGACGCTAGAAAGGGAGATCTACAGACGGTACGCAGACAAGGCGGTTGGGTCGGTTTGTTTGGGCGGACGGAGTGTTGCTCTTACTGCGGCTCTTGGCTGATTTCCTCGCTGCTGGACTATCGTGAACGGGCATGTTTTCGATCGGACCTCCGTACCGCAATCTATTTTGGGTACCGCAAGTCAGGAAATGATCACCACCAACAAGACGCAGGCGTTTAAGCCTGCAATTGTTGGAGTTGATGTAAATCGATGGTGTTGGACTTGTCACAGCTTCTTGTTTTTTTGTGCGCAAAGAAATCCATTTAACCAGGCCGTTTCTGATTGGTCCTGTGTTTTTGTGGTTAAGCGATACACGGCAATGGAATGGGAGCGTATCGCTGTGCCGAGAGATCAAGGCTATCATGTGAATACTTGTTCGACATCGATAATACATCGCCATCTGTCGCCGATTGAGCTTCAGAGTTCTCGGGATGGCCCTGTACGGTTTGATGTTGATTGTTCGTGTGGCTCAGCAGATGCAGTCTAATGTGGTAATATTGTTTTAGTGTAAACGGCAAACACCGTGACGAAGCGAGAGCGTATCCGATGTGCTGAAACCGCCATCGGCAGGTGCCGACCCGTAAACCAGACTCGTATGTTGGCCTTGATGTCACTTGTCAGGAGGTTTGGTTGAGGACTGTTAGCTTGTATTTTGCTGGTGGAAGTGGTCGGGTTGGAGCCTCTTATTCGTGATTCAGGAAAACGGCGAGCAACGTGTGCTTCATAGTCGGGCAAGCAATGCGTTCGGCGTTTAAATTGTGAGCCTGGACACGGATTCCTTGTCATTTTCTCAGCAAAAGTTATTCATTTCTAGGATGTGTGAACTGATCTTCATTTGGATGGCACTCGAGACACTATTTGTTGACTGTGCTGCCGTGAAAATGTGACTGCCGTCAAATTCTGACTGCCGTCAAAATCTTACATGGCCGAGCTCCCGTGGCCGTTGAGTGACGTCACTTCTTCGACAAGATTCACCTCTCTTGCGGCCGTGTGCCTTTGCAGCTCACCGATTCTGCTCTGCTACCTGTTCATGTTGGTGGGGACTTGAAATTCTTTGCTCGTGGCAGGGTGGCTGACTGGAGGAGTGACGGCCCATCACTCCCAGAGAACCGAAGATCCTGATAGATCCAAAACAAACGGTCTGAACTTGTTGCAATTCATGAACCACACCACGACGTCACGATAGAGGTGATTTTTGTCCATGCTGTAGAGCGGAGGCGGCGCTTGCGTCGGGCTGTCGAAATCGCTGCTCTCGCACATTGCATCGAAATCTCCTTGACAAGTAACCGCACACAGTGTTTTACGTACCGTACGGTCCTGTCTCTCGAACAGAAGAACTTCAACCCCGGGGGTAAAACGAAAGTGGGTGCCTTTTCTTTTTTCAGAAAAGGCTGAGTAATTCTTCTCTCGAATGTACTCTTCTTGAAGAGACCGCGAAAAGCTTCCTACACGTCGCCCACGTTGGTGCTCTAAGCCTCATCGCCGTTGGAGTAGACCTTCGGTTTTTTACAATGCGAGGGTGGACTGCAAATACTCTTCGCCAATGTACCCGCGGGCAAGGAACGGCACGGCATCAATGCATGCGATTGGGCGGCCTTCATGGGCATCTGCGTCGTGGAAAAACTGCGTACTCCGCAGCAGAAAAGAGTGGCGGTGCCGAAAATGCCGGTGTTGGAAGCGTCTCGTCGAGGGCTTTCCGAAAACGTATCGTGTGTTTCGTCTTGTACATCCTCTCCGTCGTGGAGGAAGTGAGCTTTGAACATCGGCTGGGGGGTCCATTTTTCCTGTGGACCGGATACTCCCCCGCAACCACGACCATCAAGGACACACACATGAAGCAAAGAAGTTTAGGGGTTTAGACCTGTGCCGGCAGACCCGACGATGATCTCGACCTCTTGACGTGCGACTTGCTTACAACCTTCCGATCTCCCTCTCTCCTGACAATTAGACTATTCCTTAAAAATCTCTGCGCATCGTTTATCGTCTTTCGTACCTTCTCTTTCGCATGCTTTGAGGATTACGAACCCAATATCATCGGACCCCCGTCCATACCTTAGGCCGCTCTGTGCGTTGTCTACCCCGTCGCCTTGGGTGAGGGGGTAGATAATATCTGGCTTCGTACCTTCTAAATGTGTTGTTCCGTTAATAATTCAGCTGGCAATCCCCGAAACGAAGTACGTACAGCAACCGATTGAGCGGGTAGGGCGGGTGGGTTCGTAAGCGGGGGTGTATGCATACTCACAATGTAAACGTGCCGAATAGTCATAGACCATTGACCTCGCATCTCTACAATGCCGGGACGGAGCGATATGCCGGGGTCTCCTCGGCCCAGGCTGCGTTTCACAAGGATGAACCAGAAGCTGCTCATCATACTTGCACTTGCTGCGCCTAACCATATATATATATAAATGCCATGGGTTGATCAGGCATCTGTGGTACATGATCAAATGTTTCACATTCGGCCGGCACGACAAATTTCCAAGTTCCGCAAGGGCCTTCGATCTTTGTGTGCTTGTACGCCACGACAGCACCACACACAGCGAACACGTCATTTCGTGTGTGATAGTCACGCTTGAAATACAATCCGGATCTGCTTGGTTTAGTAAAATATCCACATGAAGTACATAGTTTCATTTACTCGAGTATTACGTGTTCATTCAGTGGTGGGGCGGGGGCGGGCAACAACCACGCAAACACCCGCCTCCTTTGCCCGCCCCGGGTCCCAATTTTGGAATCTATCCACCACCGTTATCTTGTTCCGGCGGCGCCCGTGTGGATAGTTCAAATAGACCATTGTACCACGATGTACAATGGCCGAACCCGAGTACCCGACATCCCGTATTGGTCGCGATACACTAAACACAAGGGATATATGGATGGGGGTCCAGGGCGGTCGGATGCTCCCTCGTCTGCCCTAAAAGGGTGTCGAAGAGTCGGTGGTCAAGCCGCACCTTTCGACGAAGAGGCGACAGTTACGCTTCTTCAAGGAGGCGGTCTCGGCCTGACACCTCTACCAAATCATCTATCATCACTCAACACCACCTGGCTGCTGGCTGGAAGAGAGAAGCCTGCCTACGATCACACTTTTACCTGCCCCCCTCTCCTTCGCATCACGTGCTGCTTGCTGTGCTGTTCGAATGCATTGAGCCCAATTTTGGTTACATTCTGAGCTCCAATCAAGGCAAGACCCGATCTATCTCCAGGCACCAGCTTGAGAGACAGAAAGATACAGATACAGAGAGAAGACAGGCCTACCAAACTCAGGCCGCCATGGGCAGCTTCCAAGGTGAGTCATTCGCATCTGATGCAACATTGTGGAACAACCAAGGAGCTCGTAAGGCCACTTGAAACGCGACGATCACCGTTAGTTAGCGCCCGCAATCACGCTGGCTGTCTTGGCCGAGGCTCCATTCTTAGTTTCTCGATATGGTACCCCAACAGCAACTGCATAGGTTTTAGTGTACTTTGGTAGGCTTCTCGACGAAGCACTTGTTCTTATGCCCAAGTTTTAAATGAGTCTTTCGTTTTCGCCCTGAATTTCTTGTCTCCCCAGGTTCTGAAGCGCGGGCGGGCGCTAACTACTGCATGGTGTGACATACACGAAACAAGAAGAGAAGGCCTTCAAAATCGATGGGGGAGGGCTTCGCAATACTCCGGAGTATGCATGTTGTGTTGAGGCTATCGCAACGAGTGGTAGGGTGAGTACGTTGGCGCTCGTGTCGCTTCTTCGTCTGTTCGTCAAGGTTGTCTTTTTATTAAACTTCATGTGCAAACATGTTTTTCAAGTAATTTTTCGGGGTGGGACAAGGTGGGAGGGCGATTCTAGAAATCGACCACTCAATTAAAAAGTGTAATTCTATGCACAGATAAAAAATTAAAAACAGTCGATTGTAATCAGTGACTGACAAAAACATGATCAGCAACAGATACTACATACGTCATCATCAAGGACATATTTTTCGTAACAGCCGGTTTTCCTCCACTCACTGAAAATACTCCACCACATCCCGTTCGAATGTGGGTATATATGTACATCTCGAACGGGTAGTCTTTCTGTGTGTTTTTATGTTGCCTAATCGAGTGCAGAAGAAGACGGTACATCGCGATTCGTAGGTCTACTTGTATTACCTATTTTACCGTCTCTCGCACGACGGATGGATACCACCGAAAAATAAAAGAACCATGATCCACACAACAAGCTCACATTGATTGTCCCTCTCCCCCCACACACCCCAGACCACGAAACAAATCACCAGTCCTCCTCCGCCAAGTGCCCTCAACATCAACCTGCACCCAAGACCCAACCATCGCAGCACCACACGGCCGTCCACTCTTATTATGTTCCTGATAGATGCAGGCCTCTGCAGAGCACACCTACCTGTTTCCAACGGAAAAGCTGAACGGCGGGTTGAAAAGAGTACCATGCACGATGTGTGCAGTAGCCTGCTGATTTGTTCGCTTACTCCCTTTATCCGAGCTTTCAGAATGCTCTCTGACCCCCTGGGCTGGGTGTGTGTTGAGAGTAGTGCGGAAAAGATAGAGGCTCATCGCCGATGTCTGCGTTGTTATAGTCGACTTCCCGTTATTATTTAGGTGTCGGAGGGTGGGCTTTGTGCGTGAGAGACTCACCCGCTCAGGATCTCAAAACAAACGTATTCAGCAGTAGTAGAGAGAGCCAGAAAAAGAAGCCTCCTTCTTTCATGGGGAGGGGCTTTCAAAGAACAACCTTGCTTGGATGACACGACCGCGGCGATGGCCGCGGGCGCAAGCTCTGCACATCGATCGGTAGATGATGATGGTCTACTGTAAAGCGGATTATTGCTTTTGCCGTGCAGCCTCGTTGTCGCTGGCGAAAGTGCGCCAACAAGCAGATGCTGACCTACATTACCCAAGCAGGAGTACGCAGTAGTAGCTGCCGCCATGTGTGATTCTGAAGAAGTAGTACCAGTGGTTGTAGTCACAGCATATACGTTATACTGCTGGATGTGTATCCGGTCATCCCTCATCATGCGCAAGACAACATGCCCCCACCGTGCGGTGTGTGGGAACCGAACATGTCTCTCCATCACCACTTTGCGCAGAACGCCGAGACATGGCAGACACTCACACCGGACTCCACGCTTTGCTTGGCTACCCGACTCTCTTTTTCGCGACTTCGAATGATGATCCAGGCAAGCAAGTCATTTTGCCGCTGTGTCAAGGTGTGTGTGTGTTTGGTACGTGTGTCTCCAGCGTCTCAGCATTTAGCACCTGCTGCTGTGCTGTGCCAAATCGTGGCGCAACCAGAGACAAGGCATGTAGGTAAGGCTTCCCTTGGACGTGTTGCATATCCATCCGTTCTCGCTGAAAGGTGTTCACACACGACGGCAGGTTTGCTCGTAAAAGGAGAGGCTGCGAGACGGAACAAACGATGTAATTCCGCCGCATCTCCTCCCCCACTTTTTTTTTTTTTTTCTTAATACAGTATTGGTGTTTCCCTGTTTGCAAGTTTGCAATATCGGTCATCCTCTGCCCAAGACAAGACAAGCAAACGCCAGGCTGTTGCTCTAGCTGTGGTGACCTCTGGAAATACTGTTCCATGACTGTGATGTAAGGAGGTAAGGGCCCAACTCGTAGCGGATGATGGGGGGCATGGAGAGTGCTGAACAAGCTCTGCATCGATCTCGTAAAAGGCACCAACTGCTTGTTGTCGTGTACAGAGATGCCCAAGGGGGTCGTGCGAGGGATGAAAATCTCCGTAATCTCCGTTTCTGTTGCTCCGCTTATGATCATGATCTCAGGTCCACCGTCCACCATGCACCATTGCGAGTGTTTCCGCCACTGACCA